GGGGTGCCCCTGGGAGGGCTGCCCGTGCGGGGCCGGTGGCCACAGACCCACAGGCCGTAGCTGAATTAGGGGGCCAGAGCCCCGGCACAGGCTGCGCGGGGAGGCTGGGGAGCCTCCTTCTCCGSAGAGGCTCCAAACCCGCCCGGATGCAGCCTGTGCCCCCTGCACTGGGTGTCCCTGCCGGAGCAGGGCAGTTGGACTGGATGATCCCTAGGGCTCCCTTCCAACCTCCCCCATTCTCTGAACTCCCACCTTCCCAGGCGCTGCTCCCGGGATCCCACCGGCACCGCAGGAGCCGCTCCGGRCCCCCTGGGCACAACCAGTGCAAAGGGTTTTGCTGAGGGCTGCTTTATTAGAGCTGTGGAGCGAGGGGCGCCCGCGGCTCCGAGCGGGGCGTCCGGCGCTAGTTCTTTCCACACGGGAAAGCGGTGCTGATTTTGCGGCAGTAGCAGAAGGCGTTGAAGAAGCGGCAGTAGCAGGTGGCGCAGGGGTCGCAGCAGGGCACCTGGTGGCCCAGGCACGACTCCAGGAGCCGGACGCAGCGGCGCGGCGAGCGCTCCTCCCGGCCCGGCGCTTCCAGCGCGGTGGAGAGCGCCTAGCGTGGGAAGGAGCCAGGGAAAAAGGGGGGTTAATGGTGGGAAGCAGGACCAGCAATAAAGAGCTGCTTGGGAGAGAGTGGGGGTGTCCCCTAGGACACTCCGTGGCTGCACGTAGAGGGATGTTCCATCCTGGCTCTGCCTCAGTCCCGCTTCCTTATAGTGTGTGGCCAGCTAGAAAGCTCCAGGAGGGCTCCGAGGTCCGGTCCATACAACCTCATGTGTCCAAGGCACCTCCAGGTCCAAAGAAATGGGGTTTGCCAGGACCCAGAACACCTGACTTCACACCCCGACACGTGTCAGTGTCCCTGAAGCTGCTGAGGTGCCAGAGCTGGAGAGGTTGGTGGCTGCTGTGGGCACTGCCGGGAGCCACCTCCCATACAGGAGCCTGGGTCACTTGCCCACAGGTTACACAGATCCAAGGGAAAACTTGGTGTTTTATATCTGCTCTCTTGGGCAGAACCCAAGGGGACAATTCCAGTCTGGTTTTATAGTAGGAGCGAGTCATTTGGACGTCCCCGTTAAAAGASGGGGTCAAGGTTTTCCTGCAAATACTTGACAGATATTAATAGGAATTCCCTGCTCCCATCCCCCTGGGCTGGAAATGTTCGTTTCATACTCCTCAGAGTCTTCTCCCATTTTGGCCTGGAGAAATTTAGAAAGAATCTATCTCATGCCCATTTGTCATTACTGAAATCTCTGGTAAAGAAGGTTCRGTTCCCATAGCTTCAGAGGAAATCAGATGGGGAATACTTGCCTCAAAACCTTCCTCCCTTCCAGGCAGCTCTCCTGCCTGGTCCCTGCAGCAGCATTCCTGGTAGGAATGGGCTTTCTAGGCCCCTTTCCTCCCAATTTTCCAGACTCTCAGCATTCACATACTCCTCAGCAGACAGCAAATAGAGTCTCCCTTCTCAAACACCCATCAGGTTTGGTGGTTGTTCCAAACCAGCCCTGGCCCCAGGCAYGGAGAAGCCCGATACAGCGTGGAGCAGCCCTAATCTTTGGAGTTTTTTAAGAAAACACCGCAAATTTAGAGGACGTTACCTGTGGTTCCAGCACACCACCTTTCTGCTCGAGGTTTCCATCGGCTTCCTGGACCTCCAAGGCCATCTGATCGAAGTCAGGCCTGGGCAGAGCTCCTGTTAAACACAGAGAGACGTTGAACAARGTGTGCAGCACATGCAGGCTCCTGGCTAAGCGTATCCTTGGGCTCAGCTCTCCATGGTCCGGAGGAACTTGGGCACAGAGAATAAATGGTCAAAGGTGTAACTCAACAGYGCTGCACCTCGGAGGGGAAAAGCCAGCCTGAGCTGTGGTTTTGGTCATATTCCTGGACAGAAAGTGGCTCCCATCCCTCTCCTGTGCAACGTGGTGGGATGGGGACCATACGGAGCTTTCTGTGGCTCCCAGCTCAAGAACGAAAGGACCTGTTGTGGGGCAGAGGAGTCTCCCTGTGTGCTGGGCCACATGGGGAAAAGTGCTGGCCCCAGGCAGGAGTCCGTGGGAGGGAAGGACAGAGGGAATCTCACCGGACAATGACAGGAGAAGCTGTGTTATCCCTAGGACCCCAGCAAGCAGGCGGCCAGGACTCACCCGCGGGCTCCACAGCCACCTCCTTGGCTTTACGCAGCAGGCCGGGGTAGCGGCCTCGGTCTGCGCCCCCCAGCCCGGCGCTCATCTCCTGCGCGTGGCTGCGGCCGAGGTCGGACGCGAGGATGGCCTGGATTCCTTGCAGCAGCCCATAGCACAGCAGCAGCACGTTCAGCATGGTCCTGGGGCAGCCTGCACGGCGGGATCACAGTGAGGGGCCCGGCTCCCAAATCTCCGAATCACCCCACCGTTTTCACCCGGTCTTAATGCAGGGCTACTTCCCCTTCCCAAGCCATGGGGAAATGCAGATTTTCTGCTCCCGATGGCTTCTGCAGTGGTGACTCCACCACTGGGCACAGGGCTCGGTTGCTTGGGGGCCTTCTGATTCTCACTTAGATCCTAAGGCTGCTATAGGAGGGGGAGAAGTATTTTGCCCTGGGGAAGCGAGTGGAGAGTCTGTGGCTGCGAGATCCTCCCCAATCCCCTAATCTTTGTAGGGATAAGGTGCATCRGAGAGGAGAAGGATACAGTTCAAAGAGAATATTGGGATTTCTTGGGAGATTTAAGCCGAAGACGTAGCCCTCCTCTGAAAGGAGAAATGTGGAGTGAAAATGCTGGAAGGAGCAGGTTTGGGAGGAGGAGCACACGGGGCAGAGCCCAGTGCCCTTTTTGCCTGGGGAGCTGCTTGGCCCCAGAGTGATGGGGCCTGGCCTCACCTCCCCAGCCCCCCCAGGCTCCCCATCCTTTGTGTTGAGAAAACCCCTCCACCCCAAGGGGATCTCGGCACCTTGGGGCACCCGCAGCACCCGGCCCTGCTCACCCAAGCGGCGACTCCCCGCACGGAAAGGCCGGACCTCTTTGGATGCACCCAGGGCTCTCCGCTCCCGGCTCCRACGGGCTCCCCGGCAAGGCGGCGACGCTGCCTCTGCCTGCGTGTCCTCCCCACATGTTGACCGGAGTTTATATTGGCTCCCCATTAATTAAGTGCTGCAGCCACGTGGCTCTGCTAACTACCAGGTAGGTGGGCTCCTCGGAAAAGCGGGCTTTGTCTGCACGCAGCGACGAGCAGGAGCGGGGACACGTGTGGAACCTCCCTGCGTGCTGCAGGGGCCCCCCGGCACCCCAAGCTCCCCGGTGGCTCCGGGGGTGCCAGGGGCTGGTTCCCCGTGCAAGGTGCGGGCAGAGCTGCCCTTGGTGTCCTGTGCTCTCCAGGAGCAGCGGGATATGGCACAGACACGGATCCTGAGGGAAGAGGCTGCTCCTTCCATGCCAGCCCGTGATGGCGCAGTTGGGTCAGATCCCCCGCTCTCTCCTCCTGCCAGGGCTGGGTCTTTTCCCCAAGCAGGTTTTTACGGGGATCTTTAAAGCCGAGTTTCCTCCCTCATTCCCCCACATGATGGTTCACGGTGCCAGGAGGCCCTGGAAGGTGCATGGCTGGGGGTGCGATGCCATGGGGACCTCCTGCTGCATCCAGCCCCACTGCACCACCCTAGAACCCTCTGAGGTGGCTCCCCTCCACATCCCTTCCTTTTCCAGCCTTTACCTCCATGAGAACTACACCTCATTCTCTCCATTCCCATCTAGAGAAACACCAAAGCTACAGACTCCTCTACCAGAACACAGGGCTTCCAAAGGCCAAACTGTATGAGTCGCTCTTTGCATGAATCCAGATGGCATCCAGAGCCTGTTTACAGTCTTCAGAAGCCCTGTGCTCCTGCATCTCTCCCTCATCCGCTCCTTTGAAAACCCATAGTGTTCTCAGAGGGATTCATGTCCGTTCCAAGGGCTCGGCTCCGCCACGGGAAAGGCAGGAGAAGGGGCTGCACCATTCCTGCACCATCAGCCCCACATCCTGCCCCTTGAGCTTGCTGCCGCTGTGAGGAGCTTCGTTGCCACTCRGAAGCCCTTCGGGAGCCGCAGGGACAAGTGGCAGTGCCACCGGTGCCCCTCCCCACCCGCTGGGACCGCCGTCCGCTGCGTCCCGTCCTCCTCCAGATCCGCAGGGCTGCTGGAAGCCTCTCCAGGCTCTGTGCRCTGCAGGCTCCTATGGGACGGCAGCCCCGGACGGGGGGGATCCTCACGGCCGACCCCCTGTACAAACCCCTCTCCATGCCCACTCCCGTTCCAGACGGAGGCGCCGAGCGCCCCACCATCCCGGGCCTCCCCCCACACAGGGCCGTTCCCGGTGGCCGCGGGGCCGCACGGAGCGGCTCCCGCTGGCAACGCGAGCGCCGCGGGCACGAGGGGGCCGCCCCGCGAGCCCCGGCGGACGCCAGCGAGCCGGGCCGCGGCCCCCGCTGCCTTCCAGGAAGGGCCGGGCGGCCCCGCCAGCCCCACAAGCGGCCCGGCCCGCGCACCGCCGCTTCCTGGAAGCTGCCCGGGCCCGGCGAGTGGGCGGCCGCCTGGCCGAGCCCCGCGGGCCCGGGCGCTGCTGCCGCCCATTAAGAGGCTGCGGGGCGGCCTCCCRCCTCGCTAATGCCTTCCCAGAAGCTCTCGGCCCGCCGGGCTCCGAGCAGGGCTAATGAGCRGGGCCGGGCGCTGCCGAGCGCCGTGGGCGGCCGCGGCCGCGTTGCTCCGGGAGCCGCACGTTGGCGGTGGCGCAAAGGGGCCTGAGCCTGGGGGAGCTGCGGCGTCCCCATGGAGGCCCCATGGATGGTGGCCCCATGGCAGTGTCCCCAAGGCAGTGTCCCCATGGCAGTGTCCCCATGAATGGAGTCCCCATGGATGGTGTCCCCACGGCAGTGTCCCCATGGATGGTATCCCCATGGATGGTGTCCCCATAGCAGTGTCCCCATGGCGGTGTCCCTATGGATGGTGTCCCCATAGCAGTGTCCCCATGGCAGTGTTGCCATGGATGGTGTCCCCATGGCAGTGTCCCCATGGATGGTGTCCCCATGGATGGTGTTCCCATAGCAGTGTCCCCATGGCAGTGTCCCCATGGATGGTGTCCCCACGGCAGTGTCCCCATGGATGGTGTCCCCATGGTGGCATCCCCATGGATGGTGTCCCCATGGATGGTGTCCCCACGGATGTGTCCCCATGGCGGCATCCCCATGAATGGTGTCCCCATGGATGGTGTCCTCATGGTGCTGTCCCCACAGCAGTGTCCCCATGGCGGTGTCCCCATGGCAGTGTCCCCATGACACTGTCCCCACGGCGGTGTCCCCATGAATGATGTCCCCATGGATAGTGTCCTCATGGCAGTGTCCCCACGGTAGTGTCCCCATGGATAGTGTCCTCATGGTGCTGTCCCCACAGCAGTGTCCCCATGGCAGTGTCCCCATGGCAGTGTCCCAATGGAGGTGTCCCCATGGATGGTGTCCCCACAGCAGTATCCCCATGGCTGGAGTCCCTGTGGATGGTGTCCCTACGGCAGTGTCCCCATGGATGGTGTCCCCATGAGGGATGTCCCCATGGATAGTGTCCTCATGACAGTGTTCCCACGGCAGTGTCCCCATGGATAGTGTCCCCATGAATGATGTCCCCATGGATAGTGTCCTCATGGCAGTGTYCCCACGGCAGTGTCCCCATGGATGGTGTCCCTGGTCGGGCACAGGCACCCGTTGGTGGTCCCCGGGTGCTCTGTCCTTGGGGTTTTCTCCTGCTCCACATTCCTCCATCTCCAGCCTCCCCCCCAGGTGCGGTAGCACCAGGTCAGGGGCGCGGGGCGCTGCACGAGCCCCCCCCCCCCCAGCCTCTCCTCGCCCCCGGTGCCGCGGCCCCTTTAAGGCGCGTGCCCGGGGCGCCTCTGACGTCACGGGGCGGGCGGGGCGCGCGCGCCGCAGCGCCGTCGGCCGCGGAGCTGCGCGGCGCCGGTGAGTGCGGGAGCGCGCGCGGCGCCGGTGAGTGCGGGAGCGCGCGCGGCCCGGGGCGCCGGCGGGAGCCCGCGGCACCGGGGTGCTGGAGCCCGGGATATGTGGGGTGCTGGTGCCTGGGATATCTGGGGTGCTGGAGCCCGGGGTGCTGGTGCTCAGTGCATTGGGTGTCCAGGGTATAGGGGGTGCAGGGTGTCCAGGGTGCTGGGGTGCTGGTGCCCGGGCTATCTGGGGTGCTGGGTGTCCAGGGTGCAGGGTGTCCAGGGTGCTGGGGCCCTGGGGTACCCGGGGTGCTGGTACTTGGGGTGCTGGGTGAGCAGGGTGTTGTGGTGCTGGGTTCCCCGGGGTGCTGGGTGTCCAGGGTGCTGGGTGCTGGTGCCCGGGGTATCCAGGGTATCCGGGGTACTGGGTGCCCGGGGTGCTGGGTGAGCAGGGTGCTGAGGTGTTGGGTGCCCAGGGTACCTGAGGTGCTGGTGCTGGGTCCTGTCTCCCGAGGTATCTGGGATGGCGGTGACAGGGTGCTGTGGCGCTGGGTGCCCGGGGTGCTGGACGCTGCCCCCCGAGGTATCTGGGATGGCGGTGACAGGGTGCTGTGGCGCTGGGTGCCCGGGGTGCTGGACGCTGCCCCCTGAGGTATCTGGGGCTCAGGGGTGTTGGGGTGTCAGCATCGCAGGCGCCCCTCGTGACCCAGAGCCCTGGGATCTGCAGCGCCCTGTCCCTGGGGTGCTGGGGGTCGTGGCACGCAGGGCCCCGGGGTGCTGGGTGCTGGGAGGCCAGCTCCTCCTTACGGCCACCTTACAACGAGGTCTCCGTGCCGCCCCTTCCTCGCAGCATCCCGGTGCGCGACGCCGGCGGCGCCATGGCCGGGGCCCAGGCCTGCGGCGAGGGCAAGATCGCCGGGCTGTACGACCTGGAGCGCACGCTGGGCAAGGGCCACTTCGCCGTGGTGAAGCTGGCCCGCCACGTCTTCACGGGCCAGCGCGTGGCCGTGAAGGTGATCGACAAGAGCAAGCTGGCCGGCGAGGCGGCGGGGCAGCTCCTGCAGGAGGTGCGCTGCATGAAGCTGGTGCAGCACCCCAACGTGGTGCGCCTCTACGAGGTCATCGACACCCACTCCAAGCTCTACCTCATCCTGGAGCTGGGCGACGGCGGGGACATGTATGACCACATCATGCGGCACGAGGGCGGCCTGGCCGAGGGACGCGCCAAGCACTACTTCGCGCAGATCGTCCACGCCATCTCCTACTGCCACAAGCTGCACGTGGTGCACCGCGACCTCAAGCCTGAGAACGTGGTCTTCTTCCAGGAGCAAGGGGTGGTCAAACTCACGGACTTTGGCTTCAGCAACCGATTCCAGCCGGGCAAGATGCTCACCACCAGCTGCGGCTCTCTGGCGTACTCGGCGCCCGAGATCCTGCTTGGAGACGAGTAYGACGCGCCGGCTGTTGGTAAGGCTGGTGGAGCGGGCCATGTGCCACCACCCCGGAGATGTCCCTTCACCGGTGGGTTTGTCCCCATGTTGACGGGTGGGCTGGGACACCTGGGTGCGCTCGCTTGCTTGCACGTGGTCGTCCTCTGCTTTTGGGGGAGGCTGGCCCATCCCTTGCAGCCTCGGGTTCCCTCTTGGCTACGTCAACTGGTGTGGCCTGGTGACACAGAGCAGCTAGGAGTATCCAGGCATCCAGTGCTGGTGGCACCACCAGCCTTGCTGGGATGAAGCATGTGTCAGGGGTCCAGAAACTGCTCATCCCTTGCCATTGGAGTAGGAAGTTCTGCAGGGCAAATGTTCCTGCTTGGACCATCCTCTTCCTCAGAGAGCAGAGCACCAGCTCTTGGTAGGGAAAAGGCCACGAATCTGCTGTGCTGTCCTCCAAATGGGTCCTGCCGGGCTGTCAGTCAGGAGGAGCAACTCCAGAAAATGGCTGATGGAAAAAACAACACAATTCAGCTTGGTTTTGAACCAAGCCGGTCTGGCTGTGAACCAAATTGCTCGGGGTGGTTTTGAGGTGCGCTGGCGGAATGGAAGCTGCTTGGGATGCTGCTCCGAGCAGCTCAGAAAGCCCCCTCGGCCCCAGCCCTGCCCGGGCTGYGTTTCCTCCCCGTGGCTGGAGGGCAGCTGAGCTTCATCCCCAGCGCCGCGGGGCTCCGTCTGGGATGCGGCTCCTCTCTCCTGCCAAGACCCGAGCGGCGCCGTGGGCTCTGGAGCCCTGAGGGGACCCGGCCAGGGCAGGGGCCTCGTGKCAGGAGCCGGGGAGGCAGCCACAGGGTGCCACGGGGCCCTGGTGCGACAGCTGGGACGTGGGAGGGAAGGCCGGGCCCAAGGGATCAGGGCCAGCTCTGCTGGAATTTGGGGCATGAGGATTTAGAAGGGGAAAAAAAAAAGGTTCAAAACATTGGGAGTCCTTAAGGAAAAAGTTCAGTTTCGGCCTTGCGAAAGAAGATTCCTCCACTGGGAGCTGCTGTGGCTTAAAAGAGAAGGTGAAAGCATAAGCTTGTCACTCTGCACAAGCAAACAGAGTGAGGAAAAAGGATGAAAATGCAAATTTATACAGTGCAGGCACTTAAGAAGCTAAAAGTACTAATGAAAGCCTCTGGGCCTGCCTTCAAGATTCTATTATTGTGTGTATTTTTTTTAAAAAAAGTTCAGCACTGCTTATAGGTCGGGCATAAGGGCTGGTGCAGCGTGATTGAGCAGCGAGATGCCTTGGGCTGGAGAAGAAGCAAGAGCAGCATGTTTGTGTGGGCTGTGAGGGAGGCTGTTTGGGAGGCCAAGCGGTGAAAGGGGCAGGATTCCCGAGCTGTCGCTGCCCGGTCTCGCCGGGTTTGGAGGTCGGGTTTAGGTGCTAGGCTGCCTCTGCCCAGGCCAGCCCCGCAGAGCTGGCGCAGCAAACATACCCAGCACAAAATGGATTAAAGATAACCGTGTCCGGAAGAGACTTCTAGAAGGCATTAGAAGCAAAAGGAGCCRAACAGCGCTGTGCAAAATTGGAGCGGCGAGGATTACAGGGCTGTGAGGGGGGAGAGTGGATGGGCTCTCCTCCTCCCGGCAGCCTTCCCAAGCGGGTCCCTTTGGTGTCGGAGCGGAGCCAGCCTGGGAGCTGCTCTGGGTGGAGCTGAAACTGCCAGGCGATGTCAAAACCCCTGGGTGTGGGAGCAGAGCCGCATCCCCATGCACAGGGAGTTGCTCTCCCTGCTTGCTCTCCCGGCGCTGCGGGGAAGCTCCCCGGAGAGCAGGGAGCAGCGAGGGGTGCTGTTAATGCGGAGGGGAGAGCAGGCAGCTTGGTGCGAGGCGCACACAGATGTATAGGTAGATGTATAGTGTGGATAGATACATGCTGCATTCATATATTCCGGTCACAAGGGAGGCACGTGCGGCTGAGTGTTCCCACCGGGCGCTGCAGCCGGTGCCTGTCCTGATTCAGCCCCTGTCCCCAGAGGGTGGCTGCAGGGCGCTGGGGATGGTGTCCACGCGATGGGATTTATCCCCCGGMGCCAGAGCAGCCTTTGCAGGGTGCGAGGACACGAGGGCGTTGGGCAGGAGGAGGGTGTGAGAAGCATCCGCTGCTCCCCAGCCTCCCATTGTCCCGGCCGGATGGCCTTTTCCTGTGGCCCCCATCCTGCCGAGCCGGTGCCCTGTCCTGCCGCCCTCCTCCTCCTCGGCCGAGCCTGCATGTCGCTCCTTGCCCCGCGTTTCCCGAAGGTCTTTCCTGGGGCTCTGCGTGATCTCGAGAGCAGCTGCCGGTGCAGGAAGCGCCTGTCACATGTCGAGTTATTTATAGCGAGCAGGGGAGGGAGCCTGGAGGCTGCTGCTCTCCGAGGGCCRCTCGCAGGCTGCACGGCCCGCGGGCACCAGGGCTTTTTGCACTAGGCCACTGGCAAGGCTGGTCAGCAAGCCCTGGAGCACAGGTCCTGCCTCCTTTGCTTTGGTGTCTGGGCTTTCTAGGGTGCTGCTTGCCCCGGGGGTCCTTTCCCTCCGATCCCAGCTCCTGCGTCCAAGTCGAACCGAGCGTGTGGTTTGAGGTCTCAAAGCTGACTAGCAAAATGACGGGTCCTTGGGCCTTGGTGACTGTCTGGGAGGCCTTAGCTTTCCTGCCACGTTCCTTGCACCCTCTTTGGTGCTCATGGGCATGCTGTGCTCTGCCCTCCTGGCGTGGGGCTGTCAGGGGGGCTGGGGATGAAGGAGAGCTACTCGGACGTCCCACAGCACCGCAAATAAAGCAGGGGCACTTGCACAGCTGTGTGTGAAGCAACCCAAGCAGTTCAGAGCTTCTGCTGCTTGAGGAGCTGGACTGGCTGCCTGTACGTGGTTGTACAAAACCGACTGTACCTGCTCGGAGTCCTGCTGTAACCGCGGGTGGATGCGTGACGGTGAGGAACGAGTGGCTGCGTCGCAGCCGCGAGCGGTGGCAGCTCCAGGGGAAGTGCCCGTGCGCTCCGTTCTGCACCCAGGGCTGTGCTCGTGTCCTCCCAGGGCAGGAACAGCTCTGGGGGACGTGGGTAGCACAYGTCTGTCCCCTCAGTGGTGGCACGGGTGATGAGGAGGTGGATAGAGCGTTGACCTCAGGGCTGGTCTCCATGTCCTTGCCCATGAAATGAGGACAGTGCAGCCTCTTTTGTTAAGTGCCTTGAGGCTGGCTGAGAATAGGTGATAAGAAAGGTCCTTCCCCTACCTTGGTGGGGCTGTGGTCGCGTGTCTGCTGTGCCTTCACCCCCTCGCGAGTGCCGTTCCTGCAGCAGCTGCGCTGATGTTGTCAGAGGCCTTGCTGAGCTGCATCCTTCTCCTCTTGCAGACATCTGGAGCTTGGGGGTCATCCTCTACATGCTGGTGTGCGGCCACCCCCCCTTCCAGGAGGCCAACGACAGCGAGACGCTCACCATGATCATGGACTGCCGCTACACCGTCCCGYCGCACGTGTCCGCGCAGTGCTCCGAGTAGGCACCTCTCCCACCCTTCCCCTGGCGCCCACGCGTTGGGCCTGTGCACGCACGGGTCTCCTCGCGCACAAACACCCCCTTGACCCGCCCGGCCTTCTCCTGGCAGCCTCATCTCGAGGATGCTGCAGCGGGACCCCAAGCGGCGCGCCTCGCTGGAGCAGATCGAGAGCCACGCGTGGCTGCAGGGGGTGGACCCGTCCCCCGCGAGCCGCTCGCTGCTGCCCCTCACGTCGCACAAGCGGGTGTCCCAGGAGGAGCACGACATCATCATCCAGGCCATGACGTGCGGGAACATCGCCGACCGGGACACCATCCAGGAGTGAGTGGCGGCGGGCAGCGGGGAGCGGAGGGGACACGGAGCCAGGACGAGCTCCTGGGGGGTCCCGCGGGGCTCCCTACGGTGCTGATGGGGCGGCGGGGCTTGTCTCTCCCTGCCGCGTCCCCCCAGGGCTCTGGAGGCCGACCGCTACAACCACATCACGGCCACCTACTTCCTGCTGGCCGAGAGGATGCTGAGGGAGAAGCAGGGCCGCCGCCTGAGCCTCGTCTACAACCTGGCCAAGCAGGTCCAGAGCGGGTGAGCCGCTCCTTGTTCCCCTGCCACGCTCGCCCAGGGCCCCGCGCTCCTGCAGGCCAGGGGGACGCTGCCCCCCGCCCAAACCGAGCACGTTCTGCGGGTGCGGGGTGGAGAATATGGTCCCCAGAGGACACCGGGATGTCCATGGCCCCGTGCAGGGTCCCTGCTGGCCCTGTCCACACCACAGGCCTTGCTGTTCGCTGAGCCTGGCCATGGCCGTGCTCCAGGCCAGGCTCTAACTCTTCCATTCCCCCGTTTCAGGACCAACCTGTCGGACACCTTCAGCCCCGTGGACACAAGCAGCGACCTCTCGGCCTTCGCGGAGGTGCCACCCAACCTCCCYGCGGGTCCCGGCCCCCAGGCGCCCTCGCTGCACCCCCGAGTGCTGCTCAGGGCCCCCGTCATCGAGACGACCATCACCAAGAGCGCGCCGGCCCTGCAGCAGATCTGCGAGGAAGAGGAGGAGGACGAGGAGGAGGAGAGGAAGCCCAGCGCCAACGAGAGGAAGAGCAGCTCRCTGAACCAGGAGCAGATGCGAGACTTCCTGCGCTCCAGGGCCTGCCGGCTGTCGTGCCACGGGGAGGCGCTGGGCTCGGGCGCCGAGGCCGCTGCGTGGCGCGAGGCCGGCGGCCGGGGCGCGGGCCAGCCCGTGGCGGACGCGTGGGGATGCGCGCTCTGGGATGGCAAGGGCGGGACGCGCGAAGGACACGGCGAGCTCCGGGCTGGCCGGTTCTCCCTGGAGATGCGGGGCGACGGAGCAGCAGGCAAAGCCGAGCCCGCCGTGAAGAAGGAAGGAGCCGAGCGCAGCGACGCGCGGGCAGAGGTCCCCAAGGAACTGGGGGCTGTCCCGCCACCCGAGAGCTGTGAAGACTCTGGGGCTGGGGTCCCTCAGGCCCAAGGGGCAGAGACAGCGGCCGCCACCCTCCTGTGCCCACCGGGGCCTGCGGACATGTCCCAAGGGCCCGAGGCGCCCCCCAAACCTCGCAGCCAAGCCAAGCTGGTCACGGAGAGCTCCATCCCCAGCTTCGGGGGCACCGAGGCGGGCGCCGAGAACGTGATAAAGCTGGACCCGGGCAAAACCAAGAGTGCCAGCCTCAGAGACAGGATCCTGCAGTTCCCGCTCTGCGAGAAGGCCCTGGCCTTCAAAATCCGGCCCGGCTCCAAGAAGAGCCTCCTGTCCCTGGGGCAGTTCAACTGCTGCCATGTGATTTAGCGCCGGGCTCAGGCCACGAGGGAAGCCCCGGGTGCTGGGGCCGGAGGGCACAGGGCTGAGAGCCGTCGCCTCGTTTCGACCCTGCTTCATTCCTTTGCCCCTCGAGCAGAGGCCGAGGGGCTGGCCGTGCTACCCACCCCGTGCAGCCCTGCTTTGCTGCCCCTTCCCGTCGTCCCCAATCCGCCAGCTCGGTGCCGCCTCCCACTAGCACCCGCCTGGGGTGGCCCCGGTGCAGCCGGGCGCCACGCAGGAGGTAAGCGGGGATGGAGCCTCCATCGCAGCAAGGGGAGCCGTCACCCATGCACTGTTGTGACAGCCACCAGTGCCCAGCACAGAGGCCCCGTTTCCTCCAGCGGGGCTAGCCATGAGGTCTGCGCAGCTGGCAAATGCGGGTGCTCCCCGTTTCCTTCCCAGCCCGCACCAGGCTGGCCTTGCCCAGAGATCCCAGGGCCCACGGGCTGCCCACGAGTCCGCCGCTGGCTGGGGGATAGCAGGAAGGGAAGGGGAGCAACCGCACATTTTTTACCTACTAGAAGTAATTTTTTTAAATAGTCTATTTTAATGTAACTCAACAGAGATTGCTATATCCCCTCCCTCACCCTGCCTGAGTGTCTTGCCATGGGGGTCCCGCCCCCGGCACAGCAGCATGTGCGGCCCCAGGGCCACCCCCTGCCCCAGGGGACAGCTCTGCGTCCGCAGCCCTCCCTGCCACCCTCCCCGTGGCTGGATGTGGGCGCAGGCCGGGGCCAGGCACGGGCCTGCCCCACGCGTGCACCCACTTGAAAGCCGCCCGTCCCGCAGGCCCCCCTGCACAGATGAGCTTTCTATTTATTATTATCTCTTTGTTTTCTTGCTGGCAAGAAATGAATAGCGACTAATGTGCGAGGCGGAGCTCAGGCTGAGCTCTGCGTAGCGTGCACGGATCGGATCGGAGCCGCTGGAAAGCAGAGTCCTTCCGTCCAATAAAGGGAGCTCTTGATTTCAAAGCACTTGCCGGGTCTTGTCACTGGTCCCGGGAAGCGCCCTGGTGCCATCGCTGGATGCAGCATCTGCCCAAGCTGGGTCCCTTGATCCTGACAGAGCAGGGATTTTTCCTCAGGGTCAAACCAAACGGAGGTGTCTCCTGGGGTGCTGGTGGTAGATGGGCAAAGCTGACTTCTCCGGCAAGCTTCTCCTGCTTGGGGGGGATGCCGGGATRGAGGAGCCTCACAGGCTGATCCGGTGGCCCTGGCTCAGCTGAAAGGTGATGCTGATCCCAGCATTCCCACCACGGCTCCCTCTTTCCCTTCTCCAGGCTGGGGGGGTGCCCTGAGGCTGCACAGGGATGGCCTCACTCCATGTCCCTCCCTGGGGGCTGCACCAACTCTTTTCTTCTTTCTTTTTCCTTCATCCCCAAAGGAAAGTGGCCATGATACAAAAAGTCCCAGACTCACCTTAAAAACCTGAGGAGAAACCTAAAAGCCCTTGTTTAGATGAGGCCAGGGTAAAGAGCTTCAAGCTCACTGGGGCTAGCGTGATCACTGAGGAGCTGGGGGACATCTCAAAAGGCCAGGAGGCCCTTGGACACATGTGGCCCTTGCCTTTGTCCTGGGGGGGACACTCTTCTCCAAAGCTTTTGTGCCCCTGGAGAAACTCACAGGCCCTCGAGCGCGTTACAGTGCTACCCACGCTACAAAACCGGGCTGACCCAGCAGGGACCAGGCTCAGACGCTGTGGGAAGGTCTCACCTGTGCCTGGCGGACACTGGGATATTTGCACATCACGGAGCCCCGCGGGAAGCAGAAACCTCATGAGAGGTTCCCACCTCATACAGCAGCCTGGCCGTGTCCCGCGGGATTCCCAGCTGCCTGGCARGAGGCAGCGAGTCTCCGCTTAGCAGGAGGCCAAGCTCCCCGTCCACGCTCACCAGGGAGCGCAGAGCCTGGGAGGACCCATCCACTGCAACCCAACRAAAATAACCTGGTGTGAGATGGGGTGTGCAACATACAAATATTGCATCTATYGCCACCTGATTTCTTAGTTGTCCTTTTGCTCGCTGTAGAGATGAATCCCTCCTCCAGGCACACATCCTTTGGGATGCTCTTGAGGCAGGGAGTAATGGCCAAGGCAGGAACATGGCGARCAGGGACTCTCCAAGCTGGTTTAGGAACGAAACGGTCCGTTTCGAATCGAAACGGGTTTTGAGCACCTCGACAAGAGCCGAGCCGTGCCCGGCTCCGCAACACGGCTCTGAGCAGGACCCCACCGGCAGCAGCCGCTTTAAAAGGGGCACGCTGAACTCCCATTGGCTGAAAGACACATCAGTCACGGTAGCCCCGSGCCTCTGGCCAACCAGAGGGCCGCACGGGGCTCGCTGCCATGGAAACGCGGTGGCCATGGCGGGTGGGTGGTGCCCCCCCCAACCCCTACCAGCCCCGGCGCCATCTTAGGGGCGGCAGCGCGGGGCGGCCCCGTGTTTCAAGGGTGCGAACCTCCGCCCTTGCAAATGAAGTCTCCGGTCCATGGCAGGCGTGGTCCATGCATGTCCATGTCCCTCTAGTGGAGCCAYAGTGGATCGCTACATTATCCATCTGGTGCCCCAAGCATCTCGGTGCCACCTTCTGCAGCGCATGGCGGATCTGCAGGAGCATTCAGTGTATCTGAGTCCTGTTTGTGCCTGTGCCCAGGGAACCGAACCTCGAGCAGTAGCGCTCCTCTGGGGCCCAAGAAGCCCCACAGAGAGCTCTGTGGGAGCTGAAAAATATCCCCAACTATCCCCCAAAATATCCCCCAAAATAGTCTCCAAAATATCCCCAACTATCCCCTGGCCAGGAAGGTCCACAGAGATCACCCGAGTTGTCCTTTGACAGAGGTCCAGAAAACTACACATAGCATGGGGAAGTGATTAACTTCATGCCAGAAGAGCTTCTAGCAGCTTTCCAGCGCTGGCCACTGCGAGGAGGAAGTTGTCTTAAACTCTCATGGTTGCTTCCATATTTCACAGAATCACGGCATGGTTGAGGTTGAAGGGACCTCTGGAGATCCTCTAGTCCAACCCCCTGCTCCAGCAGGGACACTTGGGGCAAATGGCACAGGGTGGCATCCAGGCGGGTTTGGAAGATGTCCTCACCCTACTCCTACTCAGTAGATATCCAGGGGAATACATGGCCGGGTGACTTTGTGCGCCTTTTACATATCAAAATACCACTTAAGACWAATGTTACGAATACCTAACACGATTCAAACATAATTAAAACAAGAAAAATCAAACAGCAGTGCTTTGGAGTGGGCCCCCAGGCTTTGATTCCTGTGATAAACTGGTGGAATTCCATAAACTGATGGAATTYCATAAACTGATGGAATGAGAGAGTTGAATCGAGAAAAATACACTAAAAGCAGAGGGAGGAGAACAAGTGGGAGTAAAGTGAGAGGTGTGGGCACCAGAATGGGGTCTGCTCACAGGGCAAACCCTATTTAGACAGAYCCTGAGGACAGGCATCTAGATGGGAGKGACAGAAATGACCTTGCTATGACGCAGGGACAGCAGCAGCTCTCACATACTGCAGATGTCTTAAACAAGGACCARGCTCTCCTTCCAATTACATAACTCACCATAATTCTACCTCCTTTCAAAAATATTTCACCAAAATACTGGAAAAGTTTTKGGGAAATGTAAAGYAAAGGAAGAGCRTTTCTCTGTMACYTCTAAGACTTTCAATAATCCATGGGATGATGATAATTTTATCACTGCTGACCTGCCTTTTTAACCCCTGTTTACCCTCAGGCCTGCTCGCCTTGTCCTTACAATGGATTTGAAATGACAGATTGGGTAAAAGCACCTGAATGTTCATTCAAAGGCATAGGTGAAGTACTGCTAAGTTTCTTATCTACCTGTGTGATGTATTCCGGGGAAAATTTACAAGAGAAAAAGTTAGATAATCTGCTTTATTAAAAAAAAAAAAAAAAATCCACTGATTTGAATATCAGATGCCCATTTGGCCTTCTGGGTTACTTTTGAAATTTCTTAACTCACTTTCTCTCCTTGGCTTTCTGTCTGCTACAGGGTAACTGCACTAATTAAGATTATAAACATAGCATATCCAGCATTAAGGGCATATTTTAATTTAGAACAACGATCCATTTATCTAAACATCTAACAAATATGAATTTTGTGAGAATTAAAACAGAACACACACGCACAGCAAACAACTTTCCTTTCTTCCATTGTCCCAGTCTGGTTACAGCAGTTTAAAGAGATTTACTTGATGAAATCCAGGGGTTATTGAGACAAGGTATCATGAGAAATGGTAACACACAATGTTCCCTGCCGCGAATTCAGAACCAGAAGCTACCCACAGTAGCTTCAGCTGCATTTGAGTCTGAAGTAGAGCAAAGCATAGCCACTCCCTGCAAGAGAGCTGAAAAACTCAAACTGAGTTTGACTAACTCATCTCCTACACCGGGGGAGTAGGGATCAAAGCACTTCTGCGTTTTCATCGCACGGGCAAGGTACAGCTATGAATGCACTGAAAACATTTCTGAAGTAGCAAAATCTTAGACAAGAGGGTTATATCTGTCAGCGAGTCAAGAAAGGCAGAGGATTACCATTAAAAAAAAAAAAAAGGAAGAAAAGGAAGAAAAGAAAGGAAGAAAGGAAGAAAGGAAGAAAGGAAGAAAGGAAGAAAGGAAGAAAGGAAGAAAGGAAGAAAGGAAGAAAGAAAATGCCAATGGACTTGGAGCCAAAGTCCACGTGCTTCATTTTGGTGTTGGCCTGGTTGAACGCTGTTGCCGCCTTGTGCAGGCTCCCTTGCACCGGTGCGGAAGGCGTGTGGGTGCATACGGGTAGGTCCTGCCTGGTAGGATTCTTGTGCCAGCCTGACAGCAACGAACAGCAGCAAAGTCAGCTCTACAGCAGGGAGGGGGGCCCGAGGAAAAGGCGAGCAACCCCTGTCTGGAGAACAAGAACTGTTCTTCCCGTCTGTGAATACACAGCCAGGCTCCCTGGCCGCCAGCTGAGTCACTTGGTCATTTTAAGCTCCCGAGTTCCCCTTTTTCTCGTTAAATGGCTGGGCAATGACAAGACCCTCTCTGCTTGCAACTACGAAGCCCCTGTAGCCACAAGCCCCGCAGACACCTGAGCCAGTCTAGGTGGATCCTGGCAGCCCTCCGCTGTCTTCACGTAACCCCACGGTGGGGTTAAATGGGAGAGCCCTTGCTTGGCTAGTGGCCCTGCACGTCTTCCCCTTGAGAGACCTGCGAGGTGACTTACATTGCCCCATCCGTTTGCTTCTTTATGGCCAGTGAGCTCTGCGTTGCTGWCAGAAGAGGGCACTAGGATGAAGGAATGATGAGTTTGAGTGATTGAAGAGTGATGAGTTKGAAGCACTGCCTCAAGTTGAGGCTGTCTTTGGTTCACCCCAGGGATGTCCTGGTGTGTTTCAGTGGGGCTAGTGGTGGGTCACGGCCACGCTGCAGCCCTGGGTGGCCTTGCCTCTGCCATGAAGGCACCATGGGGCACGAAGGCATTCCCTCTCCCTCAGAACCTCAACTGCCAAACTCCAGCCTCCCTTTTACAGTTCACAAACACCCACTCCATGTTTCCTGTAGCTGATGAATCCCTGTCAAATAGATGCATTTAGGGCACGAACGTGTCAGAAAGCCCTACGAGACCCACTGAGGCTCTTAGCCRGGGAGGACTCGTTGCACTCAGCTGCTGGGGAGGAGCTGAGGGAGACACCAGCTTCCCATGCCCTCTCCCTGCCTGCCCATGCCCTGGCCCCAGGTGCAGCAAGACCTTGCAAGGGCTTTGGAGAGAGCCCTTAGCCCAGCTGCCTCTCAGCCTCCAGCACAGCAGGCGCTGGGAGAAGAAAGAAAATTGTGCTCTGGTGCGCCGTGAAGTAAACCTTTATTTCATTGCTCCATGGGTTGGTTCTCGCACRGCATGGGCGCTCTCGGAGCGGAGACCCGGCTGAGTAGTGTGAGGCAAGTCGCTGTGGGGCCGGTGCCATCTGTCTGCATCCCAAACTTGCCACAGCCCTGTTCTAGGAGACGGAGTCTGAGTCTTTCCACCAGAAGGAYGGGTAGCCTGAACTGGGTTTTCTGGCCCAGATCACGGCGCGTGACGAGTCATCTTCTTTTCAAGTTCCATGACTCTCTTCGCCACCCAGGGCTGCTCTGGGTCTACGCAAATCTTGGCCCCCTTCTTAGTCTCAAACCTGTCAAGATTAAGGGGAAGGCTTGGTGAGGAAGAGCAGCTTCAATCCCACCTGTGAGCCAGCYGCTTTTCCTTGCACTTCCTTTCCCTCCCCATTGGCCCTGCAGGCTGCCCAGGGCGTTTGGTGTCTTCACTAGTTGCTCAACCCACAACTCAAGGCCTCCAGACTTATGTGAGCCCCTCTATGTTCCTATAGAAGGCAGCAGCAACATCTTCCCCTGCTTATGGGTTAAGGACAGCTCTCCAGCTGCTGTCACTTCCGAGGAAGCCACACAGATCTGTCCTGGTCCCCCAGATGCAGCAATGTCCCTGTCTCTAGAGGGGGTGGGTGAAAGCCTCTGTAATGATCCCAGAAACAGCACAGTAGTAGGGAAGTTATCAGGACTTACACAATTGCTGGATAGAAACATTCCTTGGGGGTCTCATAGAAGTTCTTCAGGACGGCGAGTCGGAGAACATGTTTCATGTAATGGAAGCAGCATTCTACAGGTGTGCGAGTAGCTGAGAAAGAGAGACACCATGAACACTGGCTTTCAAAAGCAATCTCGAAGACCTTTCTAAAGCGTGTCCAAAACACTTCCAATTTTGCCACCCCTTCTTTAAAGAGCCCCATYGGAGATCCCATCTTGGGGACCAGAGGAGGAACCGCAGCACTCAGCGWGTTCCCTCGGTGCCCGCGAGGCCTGGAGGCAGCTTTGCTGAGGCCCCTGGTGCAGGGTGCTCTATCCCTCCTGCCTGGCCCTCCGAGGACCTTCAGCCCTGGGACAACCAGGAGCCCTGGGCGTTGCTCCTCCGGATAGCAGCACCTTTCCTGTCCCACAGCCAAGCTTCTTGTCTGACCTTAACAGCACAAACCCACCTGGGTTTGCTGTTCCCCCAGCCCATAGAAGGAGCCAGGAGCCACTGGCAGCAAGCAAAGGGTCTCACCTTCTGTGCAGCGTGGGGACAGGGTGCAGAGCAGCAGCAGCACCAGGGCGGTCCGTGCACTGAGCATGGTGGCTGTGCAAAGGCTCTTCCTCAGCGCGGTGATGCTCTGCTGCTCCCAAGGAGCTCAAATGCTAGCCCAGGCATGGAGGCACTGCAATTTATCTACCTCCTCCCTAGACTTGCTGCTTTCCAGAGAATTTCTACCAAATTCCAGTGAAATCACTGTGTTTTTTGAGCCTGAGGGGCTTTCCGCTGTTACATGTGGGATCTTGAGAGCTGCAGACATATAATCCCTAGAAAGATAAGGGAAATAAACTCCAGCCACTTCTGTATTCACTGTAAACTGTGTCCACTAAGTGGGCAGCCACAGAGGTCACAGGGAAGTGAAAACTTCCTCTTCCAAGGAAGCACAAATTCAGTGGCTCCCAAAGCAACAGAGAATGGATGTGCAGAGATGATGCAGAGAATGCCACACTCTCAGCATGCAAGCAGAAATAACTGTGTGGAGAAAGTGAATAACTGGCTCAGTTCCATCACTTGTGAAATCCCAGTGGAGCACAAAAYACTGCAACCTCTTCCTCCTTCGACCCTCTGTGGCTGGAAAGATGAAGGATGTCAAATACTGCCAGAAATTGCATCACATTCTGGACTGTTCCTCCGAAGGGGTAAATAAGTTACCCGTAAAAAAATCCCATAATCCATAAACAGGTTTATAATTTGGAACTGAAGATTTAAACAAGAAAGGGGAGCAGCTGGGTGCTCCCTTGCAGAGGAGGATGATTAAGCCCCTTGGTCTCAGGACAGGGCCAGAGGTTTAGGCTGAAGGAAGAGAAGTTTGTGTTTTTTCTAGCATCTTCCTTCTCTTCGCAGCCTTGTAGCCTTGCAGGACCCACCGAAAGGAGCTGCAGATGAGGGTGAGCCTCTGTGCTAACCTGAGCGTTGCTTYCCCCTCTGTGCTTGACTTGCCCTTTCTCACGCAGTCACTCCAACCCGCCAGGAACTGCAGGTCTTTGCCAGTCACACACATCCSCTGCGCTGACGCTCATCCCTTCCCCAGTCCCTGATTTTCTCCAAGCCAAAGCATGGAGAAGCAGAGTCCCCRTGCAGATCCCCAAGGCCTCACAGTTCTCCCTCATGCACCGCGAGTCCAAACTCATTACTCCCCTATCCATCCTGCACGGAAAACTAAAGGATCGCCATGAGCTCTCCTCAGTTTTTCTCCCCGCTGAGACATCTGTCTTCTCCTTTGGTGTTGCTTTGAAGCAGCAGGTTATGTTCCTGCGCACAGGGATGGTGCAGATGAGCAGAGCTTGATCCCCTTGGGGCACTGCGTTGCTTGCACAAGGAGGAAGATGATGCCAGGAGGATGGAGCATGATGTGGTGCCTGGGTGAGATGGACTTGCTGGGCCACTGTGTGGCACCTTTCCCCCTGGCAGCCATGCAGCAGGACTCCGAAAGCAAATCATGATCTTTATTTTTTCCAYTTTTGCCCCTGCACCTGCCTCTAAAGGATGTCAACGAGATCCGACAGTGCATCTCACACAGCATCTTCCTCACACACTTCCCATTTAGCTCGTTGGGAAGCGATGCGCYGTTTGAGGAAGGGTGAAGCCACTTCTCCCTTCTGTGGAAGGAGACTGTCGCAGGCACCAGGGACAGGGGCCACGGGCCGCCCGGGGGTGCCAAGGAGCACAGTCTGTACTGCATGACCACAAGCCGAGGTCAGGRCCGCCTGCCCTGCCTGGCAGTTTTCCTCTGGACACGCAGAGGTAAYGTGTAGCAGGGGAGGCAGCGCTGAGCTCCTTCCAGCAGCCCCATCCCAAGGGAAACTCACAGAAAGGGGCACCSTCAGCTCCTGCATCACCGGGACCGAAAGGACGACCATGTTGCTCTTTCAGTATAGCCCCCTTATAGCTAAATTTTAGCATCCCAGGCCAGAAGGAGCAGTTTGGAGGAGGACCTGGCCCTTGCAGCCAGCTAACACGGAGCAGGGCACRCTCATCTCATCAGGGCCACATGTTCCCTAGAGCAAGGTCGTAGGGAATGTGCGTTACCTTCACCCATCCTCATCCTCTGGGATCTTAACAAGGGGCACCACATAGTCATCTGTGCCATTAATAGGATCCTCAGGAATGATGATCCTGTGCAGTAGAAAAGAGAAGACGCCAGGACAAGGTACTTGGTTTCTCYCAGCTTACATGGATCCCCAGCTGGCCACAGCTTCGGGGTGACTTTATCTGCTCCTTTCCCCATTAAGGAACTCAACAGAGTTGCCAAAGGACAGAAACAGCCAAAGTGACATTTCCTCAAAACATAAATGAATACTGGGAATGCTTTTAAAGCCAGCAACTCCAGAAGCGCTGGCTTGGAGAGACTAAAAATACCAAAGCATTCCTGAGCAAGCCGCCCGTCACCCAGCCCTCCTTTGCTGCCATCCCCATGGCAGGGACAAAGGTTGTGTCCCCAAGCCAGGGGAAGGCAGGCACCCATGCAGCACCCACAGCCTGGGGCAGCACCCAGCCTGCCAAAGACCAGCGTGTGGAGAGGATCTGGATTTGAGAAATAGGTAAAATGCCATCCAGTTTCAGTGCCTCTGGATTGYTCCCCCCCGATTGCCTTATTTTTTTTTTCCTCCTCTCCTCTTTCTTCTCTCTCAGATCTGGCTCATCTTCCCCTTTCAAGGCATCCCTATGGCAGCTAGACAACACACAGCTCCCTGGAGACCTCCTATTATCTGTTCTTTTAGTTTGGGGAAGGGAAAGGCTGATGCATAGTCACTAACTGAGGCATTCTGGAAAGCCCCAGTCCTGGCTGAGGTTCCCTTTTCATTTGAATGAGTTGCTGTGTTTATATTAAAAATATAAATATACTTATATGTCTTGAGTCTGCAAAAGGAAGAGGAAGGCAGCTTGGGAACATCTTGGATGCAGCAGGAGCGAGCAACTGTGCCAGTATGGAGAAGAAGGAGCCAGGAAGGCCAATCCACATGCTTGGAAACTGAGTCTGAGTGATAACCGAGCGCTACCTACTCCATTGGGAAAACAGAGCGGGGAGCAGCCGTATCGTTGCCTCACCACTTGGGAGAGCATCGGCTCAGCGCTGCCAAAGTGACCCGGCGACAGAGCAACAGCTCTGTTCATCTACCCAGACAGCACCAAGTTCCCAAAATGTGCCTCCAAGGAAGCAGTGGGACTGATAGGAATAAACCTTTTCCTGTTCTCTTTCATGCGACMCACACACTTTGAATTTTTCTCCATTTGTAACCTGAAATATTCTAGTTTTAATTCTTCCTGAGCATAAAACCCTTCCACATTGCGTTAGGGCACTCACTCTGTGGCCTCCTCTGCTCTCTTTCAAAGCTCGGCCCTACTCCGTATGCATCGATCAAACGGACACGATTTTCTCATTCATTCCTGGAGCCCAATCTCACATTAGGACTTCAGGTGCGCGTATGGCAGCTCCTGCAGGCTGGAAACACATTCCCCAAGAGGAAAATCCTGTCCACAGTCTGCRTCCTCCAACTGGACACTAGGGATCACCGAATACTGGAAACTGGTGATGTACCAGACTGCATCCTCTGGAGCGAGTCGTATCCAGACCTAGAAGACACAAAGGCAGAGCTGTAGGGAGGAAACACCCAGGAGCTCTTCACCAGAAGGGAATATTATTATATTTAATATAGTRTTAATATTAGTAGCACCATCTCACTGGGCCCATCATCTGCAGGATGGATGCTGCAGGATAAAGCAGCTCTTCGCTGTACTTTAAGACACAGAAGCTCACCGAGTCCAAGCAAGGCACTCCAGCAACAACTGCTGAGCAGATAGTGAGGGCAGATGCACCAGGACTAGAAACTAGGAGAGAATGACAGAGAAYTCAGGGAAGCACTTTTATGCTTCCTATATCCATCTGGGATATACCAAGCTACATAGCAAGGACTTGGAGTCCTGAAGGTGAACTGGCAGTGGAGAAAGGAGGGTAAGGCTGTTGACTTCCCACTCTTGGGTCATGCCAACTCTTTCCAGCTTTATCAACACAAGAAGACGACTCAGTGTAGTGACCTCCCAGGCTAACACAGCAAAACCCTGCTTGGAGAAGSGGACTGGTAAACCTCTTTCCAGTACAGATCTTCCAGATCGGAAGGTGGCAGGTGAAAACATATCTAGGACCTGCTCTCAAACAGACTTAATTTCCCCAATGGGTCTGATCAGCTGCAYTGAGGCTAAGTGAAGGACAGATCTGAGGTGTCATGTGGAGACTGGCAAAGTGGTGCTGATCATAAAGGAGAATCCATGTGGGGAAGGCTTTTGGGCAAGGTGGAAGTCTGAGCGGGAATARGGCTTGGGGAGGATTTCAGCCCTGATCTTTCTCAATCCATCTAGAGCTAGAGAATGTATAAGACAAAGCAAGGGAGACCTGCACTAAGTCAGCTTTTAGAACAAAGCTGGGGTCAAAGYTTTGAGAGCAGATGAAGCGAGGGAYGGACCATGGAAACAACTTCATCTGGAACCGGGAAACTTGTAATGATTTAAGTCAGAATAAAATCAGTCCAAATAACTCCAAGAAGAAAGTAGAGCAAGCTACAAAYTTACTTGTTGCTGCATTTTTCATTCTTGCTTGAAGCTGGGTGAATTTGTAGCCTGAAAGAAAGAAAAAAAGAAAATCAATTTTGAAAAAGTAATGAAAAAATACTTTTCTTTAATCACAATATCCAGGAACTGGATGTAAYGCATTTGTGCTGACTGTGTTCCACGCTGGAAAGCTGACATCACTTCCTTCCTTGGAATACTTTCACTTCTTAATTCTGGAGAAATAAATTCTTATTTCATAATCTTGCAGCATATTTGGCAGAATTGAAGACTCCTTCAGGTCTGACCTTTGCCCCATTGCCCAACATCTGAAGGCCGCAACTGAGAGAGTCTGACCACAGCAGATCCTGAACATCTGCATTTACCTTGTGGGGATTCAGCTGCCAAAGGAGCCGTGGCCACACTGCCCTTCTCCCTGCCTGCACGTAAGCCCGGAGGGCCCCCGGGGCCAGCTGCGCATGGAGGCCCRGGGAGGCT